AATCTTAGGACCCTAACTAAGACACTGCCTAAGCGGCAGCACAGATGGTACACTCACCGCCGAGATAATCGCATCCAAACTGGGCCCCTGGATCGTATCCGCATGATTCATGGCGCGACACATGAGTTTCGTGTGGGTCCCCGCGCAATCGCGCCATGAATCCATGCGGATAGAGGATTCGATACAGGGGCCCAGTTTGGAGGCGAATGTCTCGGCGGTAAGTGCACCATCTGAGCTCCTCTCGGGCAGTGTCTTAGTTAGGGTCCTAAGATTATTTTCTACGTAAGGTCCCCATATGTCCAGATTTGCCTAGACGCTGCCTTTGATGAACGTTAGTTTCTGCCGACGATGCTCAAGATTTCCTCAATTTATACGTACACTTTCATTATATCTAATTGCAAGTTCACTGAAAAGAGATCAGATATACAGTGGTAACCATCATGCGGTTCATAGCACAATTTACAAGACACACTGGATAGTAAAAAACAGAGTCAGGTAAAAAACGTAGGAATAGCACAGAACCAGGTTTGCAACCTACGAATTTACAAAAGACTGAGATCATATTACAGCATATCCGGAAGTGCGGACATCTCTCTACTATCCATGCGTGGTGTCATCTTCCACAAAGTCGTATGCTTGTTCCTTAGTGACAACGTCAATATGTGAAACCTATAAAGAATTTCTCCAAACTCAAATTATTTCATCTTTTTTTGCAGAGCTGTCTCACCTTATTTCTAAACTTCACACCGTAATACTTCTCTGCTGACTCAAGCAACTCCGGTCGGAAAGTAGTCGTGATAAACTGCGCATTTTCCGCAAGTTCATGGATCATGTCTGGATCACAATTTTCAATCGATTTCAAGATACGGGAACCAAATATGTTACTCACCAGCAACTGCCTTTCTATGTTGTGCATCTAGAGCTGCATCAATTTCGTCGAAAAGGTAAAAGGGTGCTGGATCACATTTTTGGATGGCGAAGATTAGCGCAAGAGCAACCAAAGATTTTTGCCCTCCAGAAAGCTGCTCCATCTCTCTAGTTTCAGAGGATCCATTGAATGACACCTAAGCTTCCAGAAAAGTAGAAAAAATATATTTTGTAAGAAAAAAAAAGCCAATAGGACAAAGATGAAAAAAAAGATACCTTGATTCCAACTCCCACAAAATTCTCCACCAAATGAAGGTCCTGGTCGGGCTGGGATGCATCAAAGGTGTCCTACAATTCAGTTGATGATAACTATTCATATTATAAGTGAAGAAAAGTTACATCTTTATTTTTAGTCTGTATCACCAGTGATCCGCTTCCATTTGGCACCAGTTTTTGGAATACTTCGGCGAAATTTTTCGACACCTATAAACGAACGAAGTACACACTTCGAAGATAATCTCACGGTAAAATTACCTGTTTGAAAGTAAGCTGAATTGCTTCAAATTTTCTTGTATCCAGAACTTGCAAGAGATTCT